AGAAGGATGCAAGAGCCATCTCCCCCCCTTGATAGCACTGACACAGCTGGGTGACTTCTTTTGATCAGGCAGTGAAGGACAGAGTCAGAATCTGACAGAGAAGTCAGATTGTCTTTTTCAAACCACCTGCTGTTTGCAAGCTTTTGTTCTTGGCAGATAGGGAGTTCTGCATTGCCAAAGTGACACAAGGTGGTGCCACACGCGACCTTGAATAACACTGTTTCATTGTTTATATCCAGCAGCATGTGCAGTGCCAGGCCTCACATTGACTCTGCCAGCCACATACCTTTCTTCCTGTTACTCCACTATCACTCCAGCCATTCAGTCCCACCACCATCTGGACCAGATACACTCCCCACAGTGGAGTTCCATTTGGTGGTGAGCTGGATCTCTGCTGTTGGGTTCTGGTGGCACAGGGTGGGATACTGGGGGAAGCGGAACGCATCTGTGTTGCAGAGGCTAGGAATGTGTTGCTAGCAAGTTGAGAGGCCACTCTTTGCCTCACTGCTTAAGGCCAGGGTCTCATACTGCTGAATTTGTTATATGTACCTAATGCCACAACTGGGAACAGTACAATAACATCTCACTAGGGCATTCAGGTCTCATAAATCTACCATAGACCAGATTCCAGCAGTACTACCCATATTACCCAGTACTACACATTCTACCCAGTACTACCTGATGAATGACTTGTGCACAACTGACGCTATGGAGCTTAATGCAAAATGGTATCATGAAGAACCCATAAACACAATTGCACTTGTCAAGGGTCGCTTTAGTTGTTGTAGTTGGCTGCATACTTGTGCATCTACATTATGTGAATCCCTGCAAATATTTGTAAAGGATGATTAATTTCTTATAAATGCATTTGTTGATGACAAAGCAAGGTAAACTATAAAAGGTTTAATGAGATCTGTGTAAGGACACATTATTGTTTTGGGTAGCAGCAACATAGTCAGCTTTTGTATGATCGCTAATACAGTATGATAACATTTGTATAACAATGGGGTCTTGGAAACATTCCAGATATCAGCACAACAGTATTTATCTCTGATTAAAACATATATTGTGTTGTATAGAAAGAAAAAGGCTTATCTTTTGGAGGTAATTTTTTTTAATACACTTTTGGCAGTTTATCAAACATGCAACATGAATTAAAAATGATATTACTTAGTTTTAAGGCAAGGCTTAACTACAATTAAATGAAAGTTTAATTGATTTAGTAAAGCTTAATTTATGTAGAGCCTAGTATCTGAGACAGCATAGGAATGGGACCCTGAAGGACACAGGAGGAGGCCTGATACTATTTCAGTTAATAGGTTCCCTGGGCAATACAGGCTGGCTTCGCAGTCACATGATATCAAAATAAAATATGTTATGACTAATATCACTTCAGCAACAAAAATATTAAGTATTACACTGTTTGTATTTTTAAAGCAATACTTTATAAGATCTTTTAATATTTATTTTTATTGTTATTAAATCAGCATTCTCTCATTTCTTATCTTTCTTTATCGAAACTTTTGAGACTGATTCTGGATAGCTTTAAAAATAATCCCCATGTCCAGAGATTCAGGAATGTAACAAGAATGTACTAATCACAGTTGTGTCCACAAGTGCTTTGCTTGGTAATTTGATGTCTGTTAGGAACAACTATAAACAAACTTCAGAATGTTTGTACCCTCTGGGTGAAGTGAAACAGAGGTTAAAACTCATCTCTCATGGACTCTGGCGGTGGTAAGATGCTTTTATTCGTGACTGTGTTTGCAAATTCTTTCATGTATTTTTAAGCAATAAGACAAAACAGTGTGAAAACAGGTTATCGTACTGGTGACAAATGTAAATGCATCTTACCTCTAGACCACCTTAGGTTTATCTTATTTTTCTTGTCTAACTTTCAAAAACTGCCTTTTGAAACTATAACCTAACTTTTGAAACTATAAACTTTCCACCATCACAGTGCACAGCGCAAAACATGGGCAGAAGGACTTTGGGGTTTTGGTACATTTAGTTGAATTAATCTAATGGAAATATAACCTGTACAATCATGACTAAATACAGCATGTTCTTTAGTTCTAGCAAAGATACTGTTGCGGGGGTGCAAAAGGGTCATGCTGAGTGTGAGAACATTCCACAAACTCAATCACATGAGTCCAAAAGGCCAAAGTACAGTACAATATATTTTACAGTGATGTTGTATATTGCAGAAGATGTATAGTATCTTGAAGATTAATTTGTAGCTGCTGCTTTTACATAAAACACAGAAATACATAATTATTCGCCATGTTCAGCACAAATGAATTACAAGTTAGTGTTTTATGTTATTTGAATAAAAAACATGAATTTAACACTGGCAAATAAAAGCACACAGAAAGTATATTTTGCAAAGCTGTTTGAAAAATCATCTTGACTCACCGGCATAGGGATCCTTTAAGAAATGAATGGATCCAGTGGTTAGATATGGGACACAACTAATTTCTGATAGTGTAGGCTGGAAGCCCAATGCATTTCCTTACTTCTGTTTTGTTTCCAAGCTGTAGCAGAACTGGCACAACAAAATTGTGGTCAATACGACTCAAAATGTTATTTTCTTCAGTATTTACTTTTATGGACCTCAAAGGTTTGCACATGTTTAGAGATTTATGTTTCATTTCTTTGTGTAGTGTAATGTGTAGAGGTCTGTATCTAAGTTTAATGTTTTAAGAGCAGTATTAAATTAACATAAAGGTGGTGGAATGTAATTGCTATTATGACATTATTAACTTAGAAACTTTCCTTACATATAATTTCTCATGCAAATGTTATATTTAACAAAAGATAAATCTATAATCTACTGAACACAGTTTGGCAGTTCGATCATTTTGGTGCAGTATCTAGAGGCATCAAGCATTGAAAAATCATTACATCATGGAAATAGGTACTACATCATATATAGATCCTTAAATCATTCATTTGCCAGTTTGTATGATCAGAGAAAGACATTAAAGTACTACCCTAACCATCCAGACGGCAACTGGGCCATAAGCTGTATTTGATACGCTTGGTGGCGTTCCAGCATACTCTGTGATGTTTGGCAGCTCCTAAACATTAAATCAGTTAAAGGGTATAAGGTGTCCTTCCTTCCTTTCACATTTATATAGGTTCTATATTTACTGTAATGAGTAACTTACATATTTTGTTTTATTATCATGTCCAGACCAAATAGGCTAATTATTTTTTTTTCATATTAAAGGTTTGCTACGCTAGTGTTTGTTTCCTTGTAGCACTTTGTTTCCTGCTGCACACTTGACAAAGTTATTATTATGGTCACTACAATAATGCCATTGGTATTGG